CCTAGTTACGCCAACTTCTCAACATGCTCTAAAACACATTGTAAAACATATAAAACATTCTTTCTTTCAAACATAAAACAGATCGATAAAACTCAACACCACACATGTATCCATATTCTATTCTGGTCTACTAACGTAGAGTAATCTTAATACGCACAGCAGTGGTCCACTAGCATAGAGTAATCTCAATACGCATAGCAGAATAATTCTCTCAACACGTGGAGTAAAATGGTCCCAAAGACCTCCTATTTCTAGGTATACTATAGAAAAACATTCACATAGCATACGGGTAATCACCTGGATACAATAACATGGTGGTTTGAAAACTTCTTTCTCAATCTCATAAACTGTTCTAAAATTCTTCTTTCCTTCTTTCTAAGAACTTTTCTTTCTTTCTCAAATCATTTCTAAAATCTTTCTTCCTAAAAACATTTCATGAAATTCTAAAATCATTTTATGAAATCTCTTTCTAAATAACATTTCATATCTTTCTTCAAATATTTCTCTAAATCATACAACATTTCTAAATTCTCAAAAACATTTCTAAATTCTCGAACAAACACATTTTCTTTCATTCTTAGCAGAAATGCTAAATCATACATAATATGTAATTTCTCATAAATTCTATATTAATAGGTATCTAAAACCATTTAATAAAATAACCACTCACAAATTCTTCAAACTCGGTCGTCCTCCATTCCAATTTCTGCTCGACCTGAAATATCGATTCAATACCAAATTAAATTCATGCTTTAATCCAATTTAACTTCAACATATTTTTGTTTCCAATTTAAATTACATTATCTTACAAATTAATCCACATAAATCCAATTTTATAACTCAGTCCCCCTCTTCATTAACAACCCACCCTTTTTCTCTCGCTTACCATTTACAAGTGGGTCCCACCAAAATCCATTGAATTTCTCTTCCTTTCACCTTCTCACGTGATTTCCCCTTTCTTTTACCAATTCATTTTTACTTTTCTCAATTAAATTCTATTCAAAAAAATTCCTCTCTCTCTCTCTTCCCAAAAACTATTCATCTTCTTCTTCTTTCTTCTCCAAAACCCACGGATTTTCTTCCTTTCTTCCATCCTCTTTCTCTGTTTTTCTTTCTTTTTCTTCAACCAAGAACCACAATTTAAACCTCAAATAACTTGTCCTTCACAAAACCCACAAATGAAAGGAGTCTATTTTCGAGAATCTCATGGTTTAAAACACTGAAACTTACCAAAAAACAAGCTTCAAAAACTCCAACCGGTTAAAAAAAAACTCTTCCTTCCTCTTAGCCGTACACCACCTTCGATTTCTTTCTCTTCCTTGTTCATTCTTCTTCTCCTACGTTGTCTCTCTTTTTTCTTCACACTTCTTTCTTTTCTTTCCTTTTTCTGTTCTTATGCTTTCTCTTTCTTTCTTTTTATTTATTCTTTTCCTTCCTCTCCTTTTCTTTTCTTTTTAAAACACCTGTCACCCACCTTCTTTAATCAACAACACACACACGTGCCTTCCTAAAAAAAACTTTCATTTCTTTCATTTTTTTTCTTGCGAAATTACCAAAATGAGCTTCCAACTAAAATTCCAATTTTTTTTCCTTTTTTTTGTTTTTCACTTTGAAACGGTCCTTACATTACTAAATACAGAAGAATCAAATGTTTTGGCAATTCATGAGGGATGAATCAAGATAATTTTGAATCAGTGCTCTCAATTTTTTTTCATCCTTTGCTGTAATAATATATCGGGGTTTGCAACGATAACTTGGTATATCCACTATAGAACCATTAACTAAAATGTCTATGATTAACTAATTGGTGGGCTTGAGGAATAGTCGAAGCCATACCCAATCAAAAAAGGATGTTTTTTTTTTTTGCTTGGTTTGGCCGAAAAAGGATGTTATCCAAATGCATTTCAAGTAATTGTAGTAAAACTTGACCTAATAATCTTTTAAATTAAGATTCAATTACCAAATTTCATTGAATCTCTTCTTTTCAAATTTTTGTTTTTTATTAACAACTAAATACACCCATTAAGTTTTCAAACTTTTATGGATTCTCATATTTTAAATTTTTATTAATTCCAATATCGCCCTTAATTATTATTTTATTCGATTAAATTTGTTTTTTTTTTAAATGATTAGATTTGTTTTTATCAAATTTTTTTCCATATTTGGATTTCAAATATTTTTTTTTGTTAACCCAACATAAAAAATCTCATATTTTACTCCTATCACAATTAATACCGACTTTTTTACTTTTGTAATCAAAATTTAAAAAATTCATCTCTCGTTTTTTTTTCCGGCGTTTTCTTTCACGCCTTTTTTTTTTTTGCAATAGTATGATTAAATATATTTTTATCCCATAATTTACGATACGATAAACATATACTAGCTTTTAGTGGTATATACTCAAATAGTTACATAATATAAACCTTGAAGTATTGAGTCATATATCCAAAATCTAATAAACTCCATGACATGATTTTAGGTTTTCAAATTAGAGATTTAGAGATTTCAAAATAAAAATTAATTTCATATTTGATTTTATTTTTTTCTTATTTAACATATATTATAAATGACCTATGAGTAATTTTTTTAAATGGATTCCACCTATAATGTAAATTGTTAAAAAGTTAGGTTCGTTACATAATTTGAATCCTAAAATAGGCTAGTTGTGTACTAATCCTAATTTGCTAGAGTATGACTTTTTTCAATTGCCCAAAGGTTGGTAGTTACCACCCACCTTTCCTCGCACCAATGACAACTGCCTATCATACATGAACTCGAATCGATTTGGCCAGTAGAATTGAGCCAGACCAGAAATAAACGCAATGTGAGCATCCATAAATATAATCGGTTGCCTTTGAAGTTGTGGGGATCCCATAGTACTTGGATAGTAGTCTTTCGTAAGCAGGAGCATATGAGAAGTAGGTCCCTTATTTTTGACGTTCTAGCCTTTGTAGTCCCTAAGGGCCCATTTGGTTGGAAATTCGAATTTTGTTTTTGTCTTCAGATTCACTGAATCAAATGGATTCAGCGAATTGGCGTTTTACATAATTTTTGAGATTTGTTTCTGAAAACTGTTTCCGGATTATGTGATCCAAACAGTAGAAATTTTGAAAACGACTTTTTTATGTTTTCAGTGTTTTCAGATTCATAATTTGAAAATTTTAAGAGACAGAATTATATTAGAAAGATAAAAACTTTGATAAAATATATTACTTCATATTATAAACCCATTTTATGCTTGTTAAAATGGAAACATGTAAAATATAATGTATTCTAAATTATATAACCTTGTAAAATAATAATTATACAAAATTCATAAAAAAAAGTTAATAAATTAATTAATATAATTTTAGATTAAACTAAAATTTAGTTTGTAAGTGCTTCTAGTTTACAAATATATTGCTAAACAAATGTTGAACAATTTTTTAAATTGAGATTCAATTACAAAATCTGCTACTAAACACATATTTGAAAATAAACAATACAACTCTGATTTTCATTGAATCCCTTATTTTCAAATTTCTATTTTCTAATGACCAACCAAACGCACCATAAATAGCCATTTGAAAAAAAAGATAAATTCTATTTTTCATCGACTTTTAGGAAAAAAAAAAAGGAAGATTTCAACTATTTTGGAAAACAATCCTTGGTTTCTAAATGGAAGAATGAACGTCAAAAGTGGTAAGTTATCGGTTTTTCTTCCTCACTCTTGTATGGGTGAACTTGGGGTGAAAGTTCGCATCGGTTCGACTCGTTTCAGTTTGGTTAGAACAGGCGTACGGACCGAACCGAACCAAATACGTTCGGTTCGGTTGCTTATTAATCCAGTAGGGTCTCTTCCTTTTTAAAACAAGCTTGCGCCGTCCCCTCTTGCCTCTTCGATCAGTTCAGTTCACGACCCACGGCCCTCCTCCCCCTCTCTCTGTGACCATCTCCGGCGGCGGCGGCCTTCTCCAGCGGCGAAGGTGACCATCTCCGGCGGCCATCTCCAGGTATGTCTTGCATACAATAGCAATCCCTCGTGTCGCCATTTTTTTGTTTCTTGATTCTGCGTTATCGAAAATAGCATGAAAACCTAGCCTATCTATTCCTTTTCCTCTCACGCTCCTTAAGCCAGCGGCCACCCCTCCTTTTCTTTCTTATTCGTTAAACAAGCAGCCCCACTATTCTTCTCCGGCGACCCATAGCTCCGACGACACCGGCGATATCCTACCAGCGACTCAGGTCTCCAGTTTCTCCTCCGACGAGCCCAGATCCGGCAGCGTGAGAGGCGGCGCAGCCCAGATCCGCGAGCCACAACAACCACCGGCGACCCCCTTCGAGTAGACCCCTCTCGGTCTACTAACCCAACTGGCAATGTGATGATTTCCCCCTACTTTTAGTACTCATGCAGAAGTTTACATCAAATAAGCTGTATTGATGTTTGAACCTTCTCCTAGTAGACAAAAAAAACTTTCCAAGACAATCTCTTTATTCCATGTCAATAAATGGACTCATCAAAAGAAATTCTGCTTCTCGTTCATAAGCAAACTAACAGAATGAATTACAAAATAAGGAGGAAGAGTTGTAATGAACTTTGGTAAGTTCTTCGATGTGAGTCATGTCTATTTATAGATAGTTAATGTTTGGTAGGCTTTGTGGACATTGAATTGGCTAATAGAATGATAAAAACTTGAAAGAGATCTAATTTTGAAATGATATTGGTAAGCTCGGTAGTGTGCTTGACAAACATCAGTTCTCAGTTCTTCCCTTGCAAGTATTTTGTAGTCTTCTCCTTTAACATTCTCATTTGTGGAGGTCGGGGCGTGCCGACCCAGAGCAAATCAGCAACCACACTTCCCCTATAGTCTTTCATTGGTTTACTAATGGTCATGACCCTATTTATGTATGATAAGATGGCTGCCTAATGTGTTTCATAACTCTGTTATTTCAAAGATACATTGTCTATTCATTTACTTTTGAATTCAATTCTTCAGTTCTTAAACCTTACGTCAAAAGGTAAGAGTAATTTGATATCTTCGAGGTTCTAATATCTTACTGCTTCTTAGGCTATATCTCCATATTTACTCCTTTGATCTTTATCGTCTTTCTAGTATATGAAAGATTCCCACCACATTTTTCTCATCATGAGCATGGCTCCAGCTTCTTCTAATGTATAGAACTTTTGCCATTTTAGGAATTTAGGCATTTGCAGACATTTTTGGACCTTGGTGCCTACGTCTTAAACTCAAACTTCCCTTTGTTTTACTTTTTCCCTATCCAAGTGGATACTTATTTTCCTATTTTGCAAAAGAAGTGGGATGACAAATTTGAAAAAGTGAAATTAGGAGAACAAGTGGCTGGAGATTGGGTGGGGATGTGGGAGAGATAAATTAGGAGGAGAAGAATGAAAGTTGGGTAAATAGACTAAAAAAGATGGAACTGGAGTCATGACAAAGATCGAATATCGTTTATCTCTTTGGCTCTTTTTCACTTCATCGCTTTTGCTTCTAACTTCTACTCTCAAATATCGTTTATTTCTATTCATTTATATGAATTTTATTTTATGCTAAATATTTTGTAATAATTCTTGTTTCTTTTGTAGAATTTTGAAGTTTCTATTTTTCTCTATTTCTTTTAAAATTTATCATAAAATATATTATATTAGATTAAAAATATAATTAATATATTTTAGAAAATTATCTTGTTGAAATGTGCGATGGAATCACGTGGAGAAGTGTTCTTATAATATGGAGACCAGGAATAAATTAAGGGGGATTAGGATGGGGGTTCGAGGGTACATTGGCAATGGCATTGCATCCCTGTCATGTCTCGTGCTTTCTACTTTCTCACTTTAGGAGGTGAAAAAGATGTCCTGCTTTGGAAGGTTCAAATTCCCAAGGAGGTCAGATTTTTTGTTTGGCAGATTACCCGTGGGAGGCCTACACCATGGATCAGACTGTCTTATGCTTCGTTGGGTTGGGGCTGCAGTAGTGTAGTGTGTGTGAAAAGTTCTTGGAAAGTTAGGATCATGTCTTGTGAGATTGTCAGTTTGCTTCAGCAATCTGGGATATTTTTTGGGATCTTTTGGTGTTTATTTGGCTAGCATCCGTTCTTGCAGTTCTATGATGGAGGAGGTCTTATTCCATCTCCCTTCGTGATAGAGGGTGTTTCTTTGGCAGTCAACTTTCTTTGCAACTTTATGGAATATCTGGCTTGAGAGAAGTAGGTGGATCTTTAGTGAGAAGGTAAGTTCTTGAAAGAATGTTTGGACCTTGGCTAGGTTCAATGCATCTCTTTGGGCTTTCGTTACTAAGGACTCTATGGATTGTCTTTTACCTCTCATTCTTTTTTAATTGGAGCCCCTTTTTGTAATTTGTTTCCTAGGGTGTGCTAGTTATTTTTGGCTCCTTTTGGTTTGAGCTTTCTTTTCGAATTGTCCTCATTCCTTCTGTATTATTTCACTTGTTCTCAATCAAAGTTTTTTTTTTTTTTTTTTTTTTTTTTTTTTATGAATTATTTTTATGTGTTCATATAAGAAATTACTCCTATACGTTCACTTGACTTTCCAACTTGGCTTCTTCATTTTATGAACTTCATCCGTGCGCTTTATATTATATATTTGTTTTACCTTAATTATTCTCTAGGATTTAGTTCTAATGTTGCATAATTTCTAGTTTATTTCATTTGCAGACTTTTTACTTTTAATAATAATAGTCAATTACAGGTCTCTGCCCAGTATATTCTTGAGACATGGTTTCCTCAACAGTATTTCTCCATGAGTATGACAATTTCTTATTTTCAAGAAAAAGGCGTAAAGTGACTGAAATTCAGCATCAAGATCCAGATATGTTAAGCTGTGAGTGTAAATATGATTGTTTTCCCCTGTCTTCACAGCTTAGCAGAGATGGCCACTCGTTCTGCAGGTAATCCATAAGTTCATGATCTCTTACCCCCTTCTCTTCGACTTTTATGTTTATGTACATGTATGTTTGTGTATAGCTCAAGGTACATAAAGGCATGATACATTTTGGAGCCAAGATTTACTGCAAGTGCAAGGTTAGGTCCTTGTAAGGATTTTTGTGTTGGGTGTAGCTCCGGATAAACAATTTTTACAAGATTGGGTTGGATAATCTTTAGGACATAATCTATTTGTGTTGAAATTAGAATTCCAACTCTGTTTTTTTTTTATTTTTAATTTTTCGATATTTATAGCTCTAGATTTCCAACCTTGGTTCATTTCTACTTCATTTTCGGTAACTCCCAGAGTATCGTCTTCTAAGAGAGATCGTAGGAAGACAACAAGCCTTATATCCATCATAGGGATGTCTATATAGCAATGAAAGTTGTTGAATTAATGCTTGATCATGGAGCACCCATATACACGGTACGCCACAACTTTATAACAATGGCTGAATATATACACGGTCCTCGAAGGGCATTTTGGGCTTCAGTCAAAGTAAATAAATTAATAACCCTAAATGCAGAAACCCTTGTGTTTAGGGTTTTTTTAACTATCAAGTCTGCTGCCTAAAACTAATAACCCTGAACCAGAAATCCTTGCGTTTAGTGTTTTTATTTATTTATTTATTTTTTAAAATTTTCAAGTCCTACTGGCTGGTAAATGGGCCTAAAGCCCTGAATCTTTATTTATTACTAAAGATTTTGCACCCACGTTTTGATTTTTTCCCTCTCCCTTTCCTTCCTTGTTACATAATATATATGTTTTTTGATAGGAAACAAAAATACATTATATTTGATTCTTATTTGGCTTTTGTATGTTATATTATATCTTATTATTTTTTATAACTCCTTTATTTCCATATATGTTTACGTATATATATTTTTATGTATTTTTATATATAGTGTGCCTTGCGAAAAAACCCGCGCTTTTTTTGAACCTCATGGTTAAGTTGACTATCATGCTTTGATGCACCAAAAACACGGACCTTAACTGGCTAAGTGTTATGATGCTTTCCTCAAGAGTTTGACATTATGGTATAAGGTCATTTTGAGCAAGTACAGTCTTAGTTCCTTTGATATTTCTATTCAGTTTGTTATGTGGGTGATGGTATGGATATGCATTTTTGGAAGGATAGGTGGTTGGGGGATAGACCCCTCTGCTCCTTGTTTCTGTGTCTGTATCATCTATCCTAGAGTAAGGTGCTTTGGCTTGATTGATCTGCATGTCAGGCATGGTATCTCAACCTTCAGTATGTGTGATAATAATCTGCTCGGCATATTATTAAACATTTCTAGATCTGCATTTCATTCCACATTTCCAACATTTTCTCATTTTTATTCCTTTGTATTGACAAAAACTCAGGTGCATTGATATTGCTTGCATATCTTCGTGTTGCATTGGTATTGATGAAAAAGAGGGTTCATATTCATCAGTTGATATGAGCTGCCAGTTAAATGGCACTAGCCCAGATCTTCCAGAATGTTGCAGTTCAGAGGGCTCCTCATTTCAGGATAAGGGTTTCTCTGGGTATTCGTTGCCTAATTGTGCAAGTGGTTGGATGTATTATAATGCGCAAGATCAATTGTGTGGCCCTTATTATCAGGAACAGCTTTATGAAGGTTTATCTACCGGTTTCTTGCCTGATGAGCTTTTTGTATATCCTGTTATAAATGGCACAAAGTTGAGTCCTGTGCCACTCAAGTACTTTAAGCAGTTTCCCGAACATGTTGCAACTGGTTTTGCATATTTCAGTGTGGACATCTCCAACATGGGTATTAATGCGGCTCATTCTAATCTTTCTACAAATGATTTGGCTGTGCATAGGCAAGAGGGTTTGGTGGAGTATGCTGATCCACAGACTCTTTGTCATGAGTTGCAATCTGGCTCTCCAAGTCTCAAATATGGAAATGGTGATTGTAAACAGGCTTCACATTCTAGAGCATCTTACATTACTACAAATCTTCCACCGGTAGGTAATCATTGCCTGTTGACTACCTCAGAAAATTATACAGAACACCCTTGCTTTCTGAAGTACTTAAAACTATGTCTCTTTTCTAAACTTTTTTGTTTTTTCCAGTCAGTTGAAGGAACATGTTGGTTATATGAGGATCAAACAGGGAGGAAACATGGACCGCATTCTCTTGTAGAATTATATTCGTGGCATCAGCATGGATACTTGAAGGACTCAGTTATGGTAATATGTTTGCATAAATCTTATATTTGTGCTCATTGTGCATAGTTAACTTGCATAAATCTTAGAAAATATTGTCGTAGATTTTGATGCCATTACTCACTTTGAAATAGAATCCTTCTCGTATGTTAACTTAAACTACAATGACAATCCTTTTACATCCCAGCCTAAAATCTTCCGGTCTAGACCCTAGTCCTATTATATTAAAAATCTGAGGGAATAATATACCATGACAGAAATTCAAGAACATCTCCAATCATTGTTCGGTGTTGGTTTCTTGGATATCTAATGACTTTGGTAAGTGATGCATAATGTTGGATTGGACTTCACTTTGAAACCCAATACCAATAATTTTAAGTGATTTTCAGATCATGTATTTTTACCTTTTTTAAAGTTTCAATAAAAATAGAAAACCTCCTGTATTTGTGACTTATGAAAATGCACCCTAATTAGATTTAGTTACAGAATTAGTATACCTACAGAAAGCCTTTTATAGGGAGAACTACATGAAGAACATTGAAACCTAGCCAAATCTTTCTTATACCCTCCCATTGTTTTTTAGTATTTATAATTCTATTGTTACTCTCTAACCATAGACTCCTAGCTATCACTTTGACTGCATTTTTTATAGAAACACTTATCATTGATAAATGAAAAGAATCACTGACCAAATTAAATGATTTCAAGACCCTTTTTTTAATAAGAAACAGGAGATATATAATAGATCCTCACAAAAGGGAACGGATGCCCTCCCTAAAAAACTACCACATTACAGCTTGCCAATCTCGTGAAAGAGAAGCTAGACTGTAATTACAAAAGAATCTCCTTATAGGTAAGGTACCAAGATGCCGTAGTAATTTGTACATTTTCACAAAAAATATCAAAAGGTTTAGAGGTGTCTGTTGAAGACTCTTTGGTTTCTTTCATTCCATATACTCCAAAAACAAGCTCTCCCAGTACAACTCCAAAGAACCCTCGCTTTCCCTTTTATAGTGCCACCATGTACAATTTCAATCAGCCAATCATCGACCTTTTTAGGAAGACAGCCCGAGATGCCACATTCCCTCATTATAAAAAACCAACAATTTGACGTGAAAGTGCAATGGAGAAACAAATGATCAATGTTCTCCTCATTTCTAAGGCAAAAGGGAGCACACCGAAGGAGAAATCATCCAATTTTGAAGCTTCTTCTGCAATTTCTCATGGGTATTTAGGCTTCTGTACGCTATGCTCCAAAAAAAGACTTTGATCTTTTTTGGACAGGAGAATTTCCGTATCAAAGTAATAAGAATTTCAAGACTCTTTTTATGAGAGAAAAATGGACAGAGAACCCCCAACAGTTAACTCTTTTTATGGGGTGTGTGGGTAGAGAGAAACCATAGAATTTTTAGAGGGGTGGAGGCTAGAGAGATCTTGGGGAGAGGTTTGGTCTCTCACTGGATTTCATGTTTCTCATTGGGCCTCGGTAGTTAAGGACTTTTGTAATTATCTGTTAGGTCTTATTTCGTTAGATTGGGGCCCCTGTGTGTAGGTTGACTCCTTTTGCTTGGATTCTCCTTTTGTATGCCCCTCAAGTATTCTTTCATTTTTATCTGAAAGGCAAGTACCTTTTCAGAAAAAAAAAAAACAGTTAACTACACCCTCCACCCTTGAACAAAACAGTCAAGAGCACTATGGTTGGGAGAGTTTCCAAAACAGTTTTGTGCTTCTCTTTGCAAAATCATTTCTGAGAACTATAGTTGTGTGGATTCCGAAATCACACTATAAAGAAGACCGGGATTTTAGAAGGAAAAACAGCTTAGTTATTCTAAAAAACAAGCCATATGTGAAAATACACTATAAGAATGTAGGAGATTACAACTTTTGAAGTGTGGTTACTAAAACATGTTTTTACTTGATTGCTATGTAAATCACATATACATATATATATATGTTTTTAAAAATTTTAAAAATAGTCTTTCAACCTTAATCTTTGCTTGATTGCACAACTGAATGTAATCAGTTATTCAGTTATTTTATTGATCTTATTGTCCGTCTTGGTTTTAAATATATAACTGAATGTCATCAATTGTTCAGTTATTTGTTCTTACTCTGGATTGTTGATGTTTTATGATGTAGATATACCATGTTGAAAGCAAATTTGGACCCTTCACATTATTTTCTGCGGTGAATGCAAGGAAAGTTGAGATGCCTCCACCTCTCTTCTCATCTGATCCGAAAACCAATGAGAGTATCTCTTTACTGAAATTTATATCTGAAACTTCTGAAGGAGTTTCATCCCTGCTGCACTCTGGAATAATGAAAGCAGCTCGCAAAGTGGTACTTGATGAGATTGTTGGTAACATCATTGCAGGTTTTATTACCATGAAGAAATCTGAAAAACAGTTAAAGGTCGAACAAACCAACCAGACTATGAAGGGTTGCTCTTTAGACTGCAGAATGGTAATGAAGAGAAACGGAAAAAGAAAAGAAAAAAGCAGTGTATTGTCATATTTCTATTTTGTTTTATAGGTAATAATCTTTTATTTTGGCAGTCAGAAGTTACTAGAGGTGGCAATAGTCCTGCTGATTCTATGCCAGAAGCGCTAGGCTCCGTCAATGTTCCTGAGAGAGTTTCTACTGATTCTATTCCCGTTCAGTCTCTTAAATTGGTTGGCAGTGTTGAAAATTTTCGGGAGGTGCATGCGGTTATTTGTCAAATGCTTTCTGACTACTCCTTACAAGTAGCTTGGAACGCTGTTTTTTATGATATCGTGGCGGAGTATTCATCTGTGTGGCGGAGGAAAAGACTTTGGTCTATTCATAGTCACTATAATTTAGCTTCTAGTGAACGTAGTGATCATGTCAGGAAGATTGAAAAAGTATCTACTGAAGTTGTAAGTCTGCACACTGAGCATAATTTTCTTCTATTCTGGCTGTATTTTGGTGATTATAGTTGACACCAGGGAGTGCCTGCTAGGAAGATTATTCCTGGTTGATATGATTTATTATGGACCAATACATCTATACAGTTTTGTATTAAGTGGTTGATTACATGTAATCAACTTTTTGAAGATTCATTTTCTTTTAAATGAGAATTTCATATATAAGTTGGTTTTTCTTATAATGCTGTGTCGATTTTTTAGTGTGTTCATCTATCTTAGTGGAAGTTGTCTTATTTCTTGTCATTTTCTTTGAGGCGGTTGAATAGTACCCTTATTCGATCAATTCCAATCAGGTGGATTTTCTTTAATCTCAATTGCTATTGTCGTACGGACTTCGAGAGATCATTCCATTTTGATGTGGTTTTGATTAATGAAATTCTTATACATAAGAGATCATGCAAAATTCATACTAAATATAATTTGAGAATGTTATGGCTGATAAATGAAGCTTCATGGTCTCCTTGCAAGCTGCTTTGGTCCAATAATATTTATTTCAAGTCCAGTGGTACTTTATTAAAAGTTGTAGTTGGTACTGAATTGAGCTTCAAAGGGAGTTTGAACAACATTGAAGTTTGGTTGGTAACCTGAATAATTCTTTTCTAAGCCAGTCCTATGATGAGTGGCCATGTTATGTATTTAGAGAGTATACGTTGTTCAGAATATGCTTCTACAAATGAATATATGTTAATTGTTATATTAACATATCGTTTATTGTGCAGGCTTTATACCGTAAAAATTCTTCTCTTCATGATATCAAATTTGGCTTTGAATTTAGGGGAGCACAAACAGATAACTGTGTGCGCTCACCTGTTATACATCTGTCAGTTCCTGTTGGACATAAGTCTTCGAGGCCAACAACCCATTCTAGTTGTGATAAGCCAAAGGAAGATTTAAAATGCATTCTGGAATACTTGGAAAAGAAGCTTCATTCCTCTGCAAAGGTTTCTTTAATTGAATACGTTCGAGATATCCTTGAGGAAGAAGTGAGGAGTTTGTGTAACTCATCATCAGATGTCAAATTAAATAAGGTATGTTGGATATTCCTTTCATTCTAAGGGTAACACATAATTTTTGATTTTTTTTTTGTTTCTTAGTTTCCACTTGGAGTTTTTATTTTATTTTATCTGAAGTCTTTTTTTTTTTGGTAATTTCTCACTAGATTATGTTTATGCCTATTGGATTATTCTTTCCTAGGACCGTGGTTAGAGGGAGATATCTTATCGTTCATTGATTTTCTAACTCTTCACCCCAACACTCCCCCTCCTCCCCACACTCCCAAAGAAAAGTAACAAAAATTAAAAACAACCAATATTGTGGAATTCTTTTGAGAAGATCTGAAAATAATTTATCCTCTAATCATTCCTATTCTGAATATCTAAAGAGAGTTCTCTTATTATTGCAGGTTGCAGTTGATATATCTGATAATTCTGACTCCTATATTGAACTGCACTGTGATTCAAATGATACTGATACTGATACATGTGGAGATAGAGATTCACGTAGGTTTTATCTGGCTCCACTCCCAGAGGAAAATCCATCTAAGGATACACCTCTGAATTCTGCTGGTAATTCATTATCTAGAGTGTTCAAAGATATCTGTACTACTGAAGATTGTGGTTTTGATGATGAAACCAATGAGTTGCCAGCACCTGGACTTGAGGAAAATCCTACCTTTCTCATACCATCTCCTGGTTGTAAATTTCGTCCTTCAATTTTGAAGAAGTGTTCTCCTAAGATCGAAGGATACATTATGCTTGCAATATGCAGGCAGAAATTACATGACGTTGTTCTTAAGGAATGGACATCATCATACAAAGATGAGATTTTTTGTCAGTTTCTTACATCATGGATAGCGTCAAAGAAACATAGTAATCCTGGATTTGTGGTATGGTGTGATTTCATTTTTTTTCCTTACCTCAATTTCTCATTTCTCATAAGACAGCCGCCTCTTCATTTGAATGTCTAGTTTCTTTGGGTCTTTTAATGAAAATTTTGAAGAATCCCCTTATTCGCACATGCTTGATACTTTTATTATTTTTCACATTAGGAAGGAGCATATTTTGGTGGCGAAGCCTCTAAAATACCAGAAAAATTAAGGGATGGATCAAAACACTGTCGTAGTTCTGGCTTCTTGGAGTCTTCCCTTGTAACCGGTAATTATACATATTACCGCAAGAAGTCATCAAAGAAAAAGTTAGGATCTTCAGATTGTACTACTGTGGCTAGCCCTGTTGTTCGAAATCAACCTTTTGAAAAGTTGAGGAAAGAAAATGTCTCTGTAGATGTGCGTGAGACTACTGACACTGAGGTTGTTTCTTTGACACTTAAAAGTATTGCAAAAAACAAAAGGCAAAAGCACTTGTCTGTTAATGCCCCTTGCAAGCGAGCTCTTGCAGAAATTACGTTACCCAGTAGCCATTCCTCTGGGAAAACAATATGTGGCTCAAAAAAGTTAAAAGTATCACCTATAGTTAAAGGTATACCATTTTCTGTTATATTATAACTTGCAAGTGTTTTTGACCATTCTGCGTACATGATTACCCACTGGTCCTCTATTTAGGTGATGATGCCAAGAAGAATTCTGCAAAACATGAGAAAGGAAGAATAATAGGTAAACCTTTGGAGCACAAAAATGTTGATAAGGTTATGCGGAATAAATGCGATCGTGGAGTGAGTGCCCAGTCAAAGCCTTGTAAGAGTCCTCTTAACATTTTCTTTGATTTGTTTAATCTTTGTATCTTTATTTCTGTCATTTTTTTTTTGTCATCTTCATTTTTCTCTCAAGTTATTTTACCATCTATTCTTGCATGCAGCCGTCAATGTACCGAAGATAAAAAGGAAGCAGAAGATCGATGAGTTTTCGGTATCTCGTAATAAGGCCTTGAGAATAGCTAGCGATGTTACCAAACAAGCAGCAAGTAAGAAGGTTGAAGCTTTAAAGTCTGATAAATCTAGGAAGTTAAATCTCTCTATTAGATCTGATGGCTGCGCTCGTTCGTCAATCAATGGCTGGGAATGGCGTAGATGGTCACTAAAAGCAAACCCTGCTGAGAGAGCTCGTAATAGGGGTATTCAATATTTCAATTCTGAGCAACTAGGCCCTGAGGTCAGTACGTCTCATTGGGTAAATGGCAAAGGCCTTTCGGCACGGACAAATAGGGTGAAATTGCGCAATCTTCTTGCTGCTGCAGATGGTGCCGACCTTTTAAAAGCATCTCAATTAAAGGTATTGAATAATGAATTTCATGGAGTATAATTTATTCTCTCTGACTATCTACCATATGTATGTATATTTCAGGCGAGGAAAAAACGTCTACGCTTTCAACGTAGTAAGATTCATGACTGGGGTCTAGTTGCCCTTGAGCCAATTGAAGCGGAAGATTTTGTAATTGAATATGTTGGGGAGCTAATCCGTCCCCAGGTAAATATCTCTGCTTGTTAATTAGTTGTTCTAAAAATTGATCTATTCATAGATGCATTAGTGCCTTTACCATTTGTCATTACTATGAATTAAATTCATTGATTTGGCAGATATCTGATATAAGAGAACGCCAGTATGAGAAGATGGGAATCGGCAGCAGTTATCTTTTTAGACTTGACGATGGTTATGTGGTCAGTATAACATATACTCCAAACCTCTCTTTGGATTTGTTTATTTAGTCAAATCATCTCATTTTTTCCTTGGTGAATTGTGTAAACTGGAAATTCTGTTTGTGAATATTACTGGTTATAAAATTTATTAATATTATACCCTGTAGCTATTATTTTCTAGCACTATCTTATGTGGTTAGTATAGATGGTCGGTGGTTCTCTTTTAAAGTGATATTAATTTTGTTCCATGTAATCTACCCCCTATCTTTTTTCATGAACTTTTAATAGGTTGATTTTTTCCCTCTTGGCGAATGATTTTTTCAATGAACTTTTAATAGGTTGATGCTACAAAGCGTGGGGGTGTTGCTCGATTTATAAACCATTCTTGTGAGGTAACTCAGGATTAAGGAACTAATATGATTTGCGATAATGAAGACTGTTTTCCTACCTCACGTGGACCTTATTTGCAGCCAAATTGCTACACCAAAGTTATAACTGTTGAGGGTCAGAAGAAAATTTTCATCTATGCAAAACGACACATATCTGCTGGAGAAGAAATTACGTACAATTACAAATTTCCTTTGGAGGAGAAGAAAATTCCTTGTAATTGCCGTTCAAGGAGGTAGTTCAATATGATTCTTTTTTTAAAAATTAATGTATACTTCTATCTTGGCATATTTGTTGCTTTTAGATAAATACGGACAGTGAGGTTTTCTATTACTACCTATATAGAAGTTGTGGAGTGTCGGACCTTGAGTTTTGAGTAGATATGTTAAGCTTCAATTCTGGCCATGAATTAATCCTTCCAGTTGCTTATATCTATACTGATTATAGTTTATATTTTCTGTTTACCCCTTTCTTTTTAGGTGTCGTGGATCATTGAACTAGGAAGTTTTATTGCACTTTCCAGGTATACTTCATGCTTAAGGTTCATAGGGATGTTTTTACTTAATGTCACATATTTTTTTCATTTGCACTCAACTATTTGTCTACTTTTCTCTAATGTTCTTTGTTTCTTTCTATCTCTCTTATTGTAGAAGTGTGTGATTTGTGTTTTTAGGATCTCGTTGTTACTCTTCAATGTGCTTATTTCGAATCTCTTTT